ATTTATGAAATACTTGAGGCCCACAACAAGATAAAGGTAAATAACCCTGTTGAAAAATGGGCACAGGATATCAACAGGATATCAACAGGCACTTCACTGAAGAAGACATTCAGATGACCAACAAACACATGAAGAAATGTTCAAAATGCCTACCTCTAAGAGAGATGCAAATCAAAACAACTATGAGATATTATCTCACCCCAATAAGAACAACAAAATTTAACAGAACAGGAAACATCAAATGCTGACAAGGTTGTAGAGAAACTGGAACACTTATTGACTCTTGGTGGGAGTGTAAAATTGTGCAACCACTATGGAAGGCTATATGGCGCTTTCTCAAAAAGTTGAAAATAGAAATACCAATTGACCCAGCAATTCCACTACTTGGAATTTACCCTAAAGAAACCATAACTACCACTCAAGCATATATATGCACACCCATGTTTTCTGTAGCTTTGTTCTCAATAGCAAAGAGCTGGTAACAACCCACGTGTCCATTAACAAACAAATGAATAGAGAAGCTCTGGTATATTCACACAATGGAATACTATGCTGCATTGAAAAACAAGGAACTCATGAAATATGCAAAATGAGTGACCCTGGAGGACATTATGTTGAGTGAAATATCTCAGTCACAATAGGACAAATATTGCATAGGGCCACTGTTGTAAAATGGGACTGACATCGGGGTTGAGGGGAGAGTGTGAAACGGGATAAATAATGTATACTGCATTGAAACAGATGGCGGGAAGAACTGTTTAAAAGGGATATATGATTGGGTTTTACAGGAGTCCAGAATGAAGGCTGCACAGTGGACTTGGTGACAGGGACTGCAAAATAATGAAAGAGTGTTTCTTTTACTTTTCAAGAAGAAGAGTGAATTAAGGGGAAGGGTGTGGGCAAGGAGGAAAGTGCAACAAAGAATTAATGGAAAGCCTAAGTCTCTGTAAATTTTCATTAAAATTAATAAAAATCATTTGTAAGTGACAAAACGAAAATTTAAGCGAAGTCTAAGCAAAATTAAATTTAAAACTCTTGGTGACATTCTTGCCAAGTTTAAATGTCTAGTTGGCTCATGGTAATATTTTGTTTCACAATCCACAGTCTAATCATATATGGAGTTCCTTCTGACAGGTGGGATCAATGACAAGTCTCCAATAATGATAATGATGTGTGCTTGTAAAATAGCAAGCAGAATTTAATTGTGCTCAAAATATTCTTACATCACACTTTGTGAATCACCACTGATATGTGTGAAAAGGGAAGTTAAGTTTTAAAAAGCTGGCCCATGAAACCTTTGGTGAGTAATTACTTCCCTCTGTCATTATTTTATGTCTTAGTCTTAAACTGTAGTGAGAAATTTGATACTTAAATGATGCAGATTTATCATTCCAAAAGTACTTAAAAATTAAAAGAATTTAATTAAAAATGCAATTGATTTTGCAGTAAGTCTTATTTACTACTGAAGACAGCCTTGTACCAATCTAAATATAGACTTTAATTCCTATAGACATAACTGAATAGTGGACTTTACTCAATCTTTTAACCATTGACACAAGTGCTTCTTCCATCTAAATTGCAGGATCCATAAAAATCCAAACCCTAGAAACCAAATAATTTTGCACTAACTTCTTAAAAAATACCTTTCCATCACATCCTTTCTTCCTTCAGGCATTTTCCCCCCAGATATTTTACTGATCTGATTGTACAGCAGAAGGTTAAATTCTCACACAGTGATCATTAGCAAAAAATAAACAGAGCAAGTACTAAAGCTGGCTTTGCACCTACTGAATGCTGCAAGTGTCTGTACTCATTTGATATGCATCTTGCAAAGCTCGGCTGTTCCCAGAAGGCCATTCCTTGAAGACTTAGAGAGCAGCGTCTGCTAGTGGTGCCTGTGAGTCACAAAGAACAGAGAAAAGCTTTATAACAGGGATGCTAGAAGGCATCACATAATTAACTGGAAAGCAGGCTAAAGTAGGGGAGTTGTTAATTTTGTTTGTTTGTTTGTTTGAAAAAAGCAGGTAGATGGAATAATTTGTAGTATTCTTGCAGTGTATTTTAGCCACACTGAAAAGATCAGCAGTCTTTTCCAAGTTTCATCATGGGCTCCATCTACAAAATCCTTTACTAAAACTGCTTCATTAATTGCATACAGGACTGACTTACTAGTGGGTACGGGACAAAAGTAAAATTTCTTAAACATACATAGGGTTCTGTGCTTGGATGATGATTGTCATGTGGGTTTGGATGAGTCATCCCATCATACCTGTGGCATTCAGTGGGCACTGATTGAATGCCAAGTCACCCGCTGGAGTCCTTTTCCACACCATCGACATCATATAATCCTCTGGGCATATTTCATAAGGTGCTGCAATTTAAATCAGAGAAATGTGAATGTAAACAGAATCTTATTTTTCAAATATTGGCAAGAACAAGACTCAAACATGTCTCTGAAAATTCAGAGCTCTTTCATTTCCTTTAAAAGATATTGCTTACTAAAAGATTGAAGATGTTCTCATAAAACTACACCAACACTAACAATAAAACCAGTTTCCACTTCATTATCTATAAAATGCCCAAAATGCAGTATCTTTTAAAAGTAATTGTCAAACAGGCATTACAAGAAAATTCATTTCAATTTGCCTATACACTGAGTTACATTGAAAGCATATATAAAAAAAATCATTTCAGCACTTCAACAAGAAAAAGTAAACAAAATAATCACAAAAGGGGCACAAGATATGAAGAGTTATTGTTGTTATGATTGTTGTTAGACGTCACTGAGTCGAGTATGACTGATAGTGAGTGACCTTATGAACAAAAGATCTGAACCCTGTTCTATCATGCGTCATCCTCACACCTCTTGACATACAAGAGTCCATGGTGACAATCATTGCATCAATCCACCTGGTCAAGGGTCTTCCTCCCCTTCACCGACTCTCCCCCTGAATCAAAGATGAAATCCAGATGGTGACAACCACATGAAGAAATGTTCAAAATCTCTAGGTCACAGAGAGATGCAAATCAAATCACCCATAAGAAACCATCTCACCCTAGCAAAAACAGCAAAGTTCAGTATAGCAGTTAAACAACAGATGTTGGTGAGGTTGTAGGGAGATTGAAACTCTTATTTACTGCTAGTGTGAATGTAAAATGGTACAACCACTATGAAAGGAGGCCTGGACTTTCTCAAAAAGTTGGAAATAGAAATATCATTTGATCCAACTATTACTATTGGGAATGTACACTAAAGAAACCCTCTGTTTCTGAAACAGATTTATACACACTCATGTTTATTGTTGCATTATCCACAATAGCCAAGGAATGGAAGGAGCCCAATCACTTGTCAACAAACAAACGGATAGTAAAACTGTCCAAAATCTCTGTAGATGTTCACTGAAATTAAAACAAACAAAAACAAAAACAAAAACCAACAAAAACTGTGGTGCATTCACACAATGAAATATTATACAGCACTGAGAAACAGTGAACTGGTAAAGAACTACAAAACATGAATGATCCTGGAAGACATTATGTTCAGTAAAATATCTCAGTTGCAAAAAGATAGATACCACATAATATTACTGTTAAAAATAGAATGAACACAGGGGTGGGGGAGAAAAGGAAAAGAATGGATTGATAATAAACTTTGTTCTGGAACAGAAGAGGAGAAGGACTATCTGAAAGGAATGTATGATTAGGCATTATTTGAATGACAATTAAAAATCTAGAATAAGAGGTGTATTATCAAGTGGACTGGAGAAGAGGGAAGGGTGGAAGAGGGAGGAAAACGTGCAACAACAAATGAATGAAAACACAACCTTTCTGTAATCTACTGCATAAGACCATTATTGTAAAAAATAGAAGGATTCCTAATAAGACATATACAAAAGCCCAAAGGGGGAAAGAGAGGATAGAGAAAGCTGAGGGTGGGGAAGGAGGGAATTCTTGAGATATTGGAGTTACGTGAGCAGAGTGAGAGGTTGAAAGAATCAGAAAGAACCAGTGGAAATCTCAAAAGGTGGGGTAAAGGCGAGCATGAATCAATGGTAATTAATTTTATAAAACACGATATATAGGAATGATACCATGAAATACAATGAGAGTAGTGGAATGCATGAAACACAATTCATATAAATGAAACACAATGTAAATTAATTTTGTATGTAAGCCAATAGAAAATAAAAATCATGCATGATAAAAATAATGAAGTAAAATAAACAGCAAAAACCCCTAAAATAATTTTAGATACAGTGTTTTGTTATACAACAAAAATTATTTACAGACAATTGAGACCCTTATTAGAATTATCAACTCTAAATCTTAAGGAGAAAATAATAATAAAGGGCAATAATATATAACATTGTATTTCTCCAACCAGAAGCAACGATGTAAATTAACAATTATAAACATATAAAAAATTATATAAATACAATTTGAGAGATTTGCCTTATTTTCAAAAGTTTGGCAATTATTGAAGAAAAAGGGGAATTTAATGAGCAACAAATACATACCAAGAGTATTCTAGTGAAAAGATAAAAAATTTTCTATATATGAGCTCTCTGTATACTTTATTCAAAATAACAACCTGCTCACAGATCAAAGAACGCATTTATGTCTTTCCTAGAGACACCGACTCTTTGGCTTGTCACGTAGCACTGAATGCCTTTCGTGTGCATGCATTTGCCTCCCTGCTTGCCTGGGATCTTATTTGATTGTCTCCTCATCTCTGTTATGACCTATACCTAGTAGTGTGTCTGATATACTGAAGTTACTAAATAGTGAGCGCAAAACAAATAGATACATAATATATGATTGCATAATTAACTTAGTAAGTACTTAAGTACCTAAAAAGAAATAAACACAGGAATGTGATTTCCTGGGATAAATGTCCTTCTTTACAGAAATATACTGTGTAACCCATAATAGCCATAATTCCACTGATAGTAATACTCTTTAGAATTTATGAGTTGTTTATTAGATTATAAGTGGATGAATGATGCTCTGGTGGCCTAGTGGAAAGAAGCTGCACTGCAATCCCAAAGGCACATGGTTCGAGGCCACCAGCTGCTCCACAGAAGGATGGACAATCTTCTCCTGGGAGATTTACTGCCTCTGAAAACCCGCTGGAGGGTCAGCTATGGGTTAGTTCCAACTCGACAGTTTCAGCAAGCCGGGTTGTGTCACCTGCATAACGCAGATTGTTAATTGATCTTCTCCCAATGCTGATGCCACACTTCTCCTCATAGAGCCCAGCCTCTTAGATAATCTGTTCTGCATACAGGCTGAAAAGGTATGGAGATAGGACACATCCCTGGAGTACACCTTTCCCAATTTTGAACCATGCAGTGTTTCCCTGCTCTGTTCTGACAACTGCCTCTTGGTCCAAGTATAGGTTTCACATTAGCACGATCAAGTGTTCTGGGATTCCCATTCTTCTCAGAGTCAGCCATAGTTTGTCATGATCCACAGAGTAAAACACCTTTGCAGAATCAATGAAACACAGATATACATTCTTCTGGTTTTTCCTGCTTTAAGTTAAGATCCATCTAACATTAGCTGCAATATCCCTAGTACCACGACCCCTTCTAAACCCAGCCTGGACTTCTGGCAGTTCTCGGCTGATGGGCTGTTCCAGTCGATTTAATGGTACACACACACACACACACACACACACACACACACACGCAAATGTAGGCTTAGCATTGCTAAAATGGTGTTTTTGAAAGAAACTTAGCTGTCCCAAAGAAATCTCAAAGTGAACTACCTACCCACATCTCCACTCCCCAAAGTTTCTGGCCACCCCTTTTTGTACTATCTAACTACTTTATGTTATCCTATTCTGTCCCTGTACAATCTTCTCCTAGTCACCCTTAATCATTCTAGCTCTACTGCTTTAGTTCAAGCATTCCTTAATCTTGTCCCATTAAATCATGGAAACAGCCTCACAGTTTCATTTATACATTTCTTCGGTTCAGGTACCAGGCTTTGTTCTAAGGAAAGGTAGTAACTCAAGAGAAAATTAATCTCTGCAAATTAGATCTGTCATTCAAAGGGTGGGGACAAAGGACAAGAAAATGTCTATTTACTTGAGCATGCCTAAGCACCCTGGAGGCATCCTCTGTACTAAATGGAGAGGTTAACCCAAAGACTGGGCAGCTCTGATGGTTTGAATCCAGTCATGGCTCTGTGGAAGAAAGAAGAGCAGTCTCCTCTCATTATTCACCATTTCAGTTATATTTCAGTTATGTTATAAACTGGTGGCTTTAGGTGGGATGGGTGGACTAATAAGGAAGACAGGTCGATGGATACAAGGTAAACACAGCAACAGATTGAATGACATTGGGAATGCGTGAGATGTAAGGGTTCAGAATGATGTCTGCTTTCTGATGTGAAGAACTGGGTATAAAAGAGTATTGTTTTCTACTATCCTCCTTGCTTAATGTAGTTTTTCCAATTACAATTATAGAATGATTGCTATAATAAATTCTAATCTCATATTTTATTGCTTAAACCTCTTTCATGGCTCTCTAGTACTTATAGGATACCTATGCTCAGTGTGATTTAAAAAGGCCCTTCTAGGAAACCTCAAGCAATGGTCTCTCCTAGTAACATGCTCAAAATACATGAGATGAAGCTTTGCCATTCTTGCCTCCAAGGAGCATTCTGGTTACACTTTCTCCAAGATTCATCTGCTTGTTCTTTTGGCAGTCTGTCCATATTCAGTATTCTCCTCCAACACCATACTTAAAGACACTAGCATTCAGGAAATCAAAGACAAATTGCATTGGAAAATTATGCTGTCAGGGACCTTTCTATAGTACTGAAGAGCAGCAGTATCAGTCTTGAGACCAAGGTCTGATACAGGTCATGGCCTGATACAAGCCATGGTCTTCACAATTACTTGCTCTGTATCTGGCTAAGGATAACAGAAGAAGAATCAATGTCTTTGAGTTGTAGTGCTGGAGAAAAGTGTTGAACATATTATGGACTGCCAGGAGAACAAACAGGTCTGTCCTGGAGATGATGAAACCTGCTGCTTCCTGGAGGCAAGGCTTTTGAAGCTCCATCTCACATATTTTGGGCATGTGGCTAGTAGGGGCCAGTCTTTAGAGAAGAACATCATTGGAAGGGTGGAGGCAGAGCACAGAAGAGGAAGACCAAGGATGAAATATATTCACTCACTGACTGGAGAAATGGGATTAGGTCTGTCAGAGTTGAGATTGGTTTAGGACAGAGCAGGGTTCAGAAATGTCATACACAGAGTTGCTATTAGTCGCAGTTGACTAGATGGCACATAACAACAACATATATAAATTATATTTAATTGATATATATTAATATTGTTGTTGTTTTTACACTCCGGTT